ACATGGCCTCTAAGAGTAGAAGACACTCGTAAGCTACTAGTATTTGATCACAGATGCCTTAGAAATATTGCTGGCGTCTGCTGGGATCACCGGGTAAGTAATAGTGAGGTTAGACGCAGGGTGTTAGGAAATGATGGTAAATCAGTTGATGACGTTATGAATCTTCATCGACTGAGATGGTTGGGCCACGTGTTACGTATGCCCGAATACCGATTATCACGACGTGCAATGCTAACCGGTATTGGAAATGGTTAGAAGAAAGTTAGGGGCAGCCAAACCAAAACGTGGCATCAGTGCTTGAAGTCACTAACTTCTAGTCTGAGCCATGTTGGAAGATGTAGACTACTTGGTTGGGGTCCGCGTGACTATCGTAACCAATGGTTGGAGACTCTTGGTGACATGGCTCAGAATCGATCACAATGGCGTCGGTGTATACACTCCCTGTCTTCCCTTAAACTAAGAAATTAAAATCGCTTCATACCTTTCTTTCTACGAACCAATTCTTTCTTCTTGTACTATATCTCTGTATGCAATCTTTCTCTTATATATTACCACCTTTGACCTAACCACTGCTATGAATCCGGTGTTCATCTTGTTGTGCTGATGCGGTATGGCAACCTGGACCGATGCACATATGTGCCTGGTCCTACGTTGTAGCTGACTGACTGAATTCAGTTGCAAAATCATAACATTCGTAATATCTTATCATGTTTATGAACCATGTAATTAATCAAAACATTTATAGATTGATATGTGTACACTGTGAGCTGGTCAATAATCATGCGATTATGACAGATTTAATTGACCTAGCAAGTGATTATTGAAAGAAATAGATAGATGAGGTCACATCTAATCATTTGCTCACGAAATCAAATTCATTTAGTCTACCATGGAGGACCATTTAAATGTTACACAGGATATCTGCTTTCAGTTCTCATGGCAGTATGTTCTTTGGTCTTCCTGTTTCCCGTTTTCCTTCAGGATCCCGAGCTAAGGCTTGCCTTGTGATACAGTTTGATGATTTCCTTAATGTATATCCTATCCACTTCCAACATCTTTTCCTTATGTCCTTCTCATCTGGAAGCTGGTTTGTCCTCTCTCACAGTAGACTGTTGTTGATGTTACCCGGCCAACAAACATTGAGTATCTTGTGTAGACAATTGTTTATAAGTACTTGTACACTTTTGATGATGGTTTTGATAGTTCTCCAAGTTTCACCCCCGTATAGTGGAACTGTCTTGACGTTTGTATTGAAGATTGTGACTTTGATACTCGTTAACAGTTGTTTTGAGTACCATTTGTTCTTCAACTGGTAATTGCTTAGCTTTTCTATAAAGTGATATAGAAATTAGTTACTCTTAATTATACATTCATTATTCTATTAAATAATTCCTTTTGATTACATTTCAATTTGTTTTAATGGTTAGGTAAAATAATTGGTCAATAAATATATCACTTTTCCATAACAATTTACAAAAAATTATTTGGTAAATGACGTTTATCATTTGACGAACTTTGTTTTAGTGCTACTACATATTTCATTGGATAATCAACGTTGTTGTTAAGTGTAGATTATTCCAAAAACAGAATTCATGTTCAAATTCATTTGATTTCAAAAGGTTTTGGGCAATACAACTTAAACTGGAGAGAAATATATCAAACTTTCATGGTTATGCAATCATTTGATAGTTCAAATGTATATAATAGGGTTAAGTTTCAATCTGTATAGATGCGTACAGGAAAGTATTGACTACAATGCTTGATGTAGCAGTATTTGATAACAATAAAATGTGAAAAAGCAACCGAAACAGGTTTCTTCCACGTGGAAAATATTGTTCTATTTTTATAACTTATAATATCTGATTATTATCAGTATAGGGATAGGTGGAGATTGTAGTATTTTCACAGTTGGGTTCACGAGTCAATCTAAGCTAGACTACCATTGAAAGCCTGGAAGAATGTAAAGTTTTGCTATTTGTATTCTTTACAAGCTAAATAAACTTGTAATGTTATGTATTCAGCTGTAGTTGATATGTAGAAATGATTTTTAAATCGTTGTATCACTGGGAACTTAACTGTTATCACAAATACTTTGATTATTGTATTGATATATTCTAATTTCTAGTGAACTGTGCATCTATTTGTATTTAGTTAATGTGAATAAAGCTTATTTCAAAAGTGAAATGTTCCACAGTATTACGTGTGTGTGTTCTGGAAGTCAGTAATATTGACATAATCTATTTGATATCGTCTTTTTGATAATCTGTAGTTTATTTTTATCCTATATTGATGTCTATTTCAAGCTTTATTGGCAAACAGAAAGATAAAAGATTAACATAAAGTAGCTTATTTCTAAAGGTTGTGTAAAATCTTCTAGTTGATGTCAAAGACTCCAATCGATCGGTTGAGAAGATCCAATCAAATGAAAATAATTTGTAAGTCACCTAATAGCACAAGCCTCTGGCTATCTGGACTTAATAACAAAATTGGTAACGCAATGGGCGTTTAAAGCAAAAAGTATTAGGTTCGCCTTTCAATGTGATTATCAACACTAGGATGCTAGTATATTCAGCTAACATGTCCCAAATAGGACGAAATGAGTGTCCCAGATTCCACTGCTAGACACTAACCAATTCTAATCAGTAGTACAAAATGATTGTATATGTATTCAATATTCATATATTTGATGTATTTTACTGATGATTATTAGTGATAACGTTAGAAGTATACAATAGTTTATTGATTTTCACCAATAAGTCTCCTTGTCTTCATTTATGTAATGAAGGTTCTTGATTTTCTTCAATTCTAGACATTCTTATAATTAGTACAGTTAATTTTATTTTATTTCCTTCATGTTTTAATTTGTTCATTGTTCTTTTCTTTTAATGACCCAATTAGTCAGTTTGTTTATATCGATTAATTCCAGAGCAAAATAATTAGCGATACCCTGTACCGTTTTTTTGTAATAATAATATTAACTATCATTCTATTCGCTTTTTAGGTCATTTCCAGCATTCAGTGCATCTTTTTAACCTGTTTGATAATATGTGAATAAATTATAATCATTTAATAAGTGTACACAAATTATAAAACATGCATTTATAATATTAATGGTGAAAGTATTGTTTAGTATTCTCATATATATATATACATATGAAATAGTTTGTACAAATTAACAAATTATCGATAATTTTCGTGTCCCTTTCGATGGTTACTACTATTGATCTGTTAGTAAGTATGTATCTTCGTTATGATAAAACACTTTATGATATTGACTGACAAACCTTTCAAAACTATTTTAATAAAATAATGAATACCCTCTTATTATTATTATTATTATTATTATTATTATTATTATTAATCTTTCTACTAATATCTAATTGAATATATCGATAAAAATCAGGTATACCATAACGGTCATTATTATTATTCATAAACGATTGAGAAAAATAATTGTTCTGATAAAATCAATTGATTGATTGTTAAAAGTTTCAGGGGTGGTAGGTGTTATTTTTTTATTCAATAGTAGTATTCACTATGTCCAGTATTATGTGTTTGATGATGATATGAAGAAAAAATTATCTGGCTAAAATATATACACGATAGCAACAATATTCCGTCCTTTGTATCCAGTTAACTTGTAAATATTCAGCATTGTATAGCTGCTACTCATCGATAGCAGGCTTAAAAAGGTTTGACTTGAATTTAGCTGTAAGTAATTCACCTCACTGTAAACCTTTTTATGAAAAGCTTGCGAGTATATTTGGTTAACATCCATGATAAGGGCGGTCTGCTTGAGCATCTGGGCTACCTGTTCCTGCCATCTAGATATTTCAACAAGCTATCTATTTTTATTTGTTTTAATATATCATTATGTTTATTAATCGCATGACCTATTTTGCTGCATTTCTGAAAAGTGTACAACCTTTCGTTGTCAAAGTTACAAAAAACTCAATAAGAGCCAATGTTGTTGCTGGCAATATACAGCGAAGAAAAGTACATTATTCAGATGTTCATTTATTGAACTGCTAACATGTAACTGGCGATCACTCAATATTTATCGCCAGGACCGACCAAGAAGAAAGAAACGGAAACTTGTTGAAATACTTTACTCTGAGAATTCTATATTGTACCAAAAATATAATATTGAATAAAGCTGATGATAATAATAATAATGATTGTTCATTTAAAACAATTCTTAAATAAAAAACTTTGTTGTGATATTTAAACTATTGCACTGCATTTTGATAATTCCCCTTTGGCATTTTTGCTTGCTGAGTAACTTACCTTGATATTTTGTCACAAGGTTTTTTGGAGATAGATCTTGGTTAGTAGTTGAATTCAGGGCAGACATCTCGTCCTAATCCATACTAACCTGGACGAGTCAGGAATTATCTGGATTTAATAACCCAGTGGACACTTGCAGCAGAACGTAATGCGTTCGAGTCTTAATATGAACGTTAGTACTGCAATACATTTATATCCAGTTAACGAATCTCAGGACGAAACTTGGGTTCTAGATTTCACTACTAAGTACAACCCATCTATTCTGAAAACGATTTCTGTCGAATAACCTTTTTATTCATAGTTCAAACTTCTCAACCTTTTTCAAACTGAACCATTGAGTTTTTTGCATGACCTACTATTGTTGTACATGTTTTTGAAGTTGCTAATTTTCGTGTTTTAACATTTATGTACTGAAGTGTTTAACTATTAAAACTGTCCTTATAAATAATCAAGTTCAGTTGATTAAAAATTACACCATAAAACCTTATTCAGTTTCTTGTTATGATAGTCGTTGTTACAAAATAGATGGATTATTTGAAATATAAATGTTGATAACAGGAGCAAATATCTTGACAACTGCTTTATGCGTCCATTTTGAACTGCTCTATTATCAGTCAATAATTTAGTATTTTCGTTCGCCAAAATCAGTTTGATAGATCACTAATTTAACATAACAACGGTATTTGTTCTTGACTTGTTTTCTGTAAATTCAGCCTATCTCAGAGAAGCACTAGAAGAATATATGGGAATGTTAAATATTGTCAAAATTGTTCGTACTAAAAAACGTGAAGGATTGATCAGAGCAAGAATGATTGGTGCAGAACACAGTACTGGGAAAGTGCTCGTATTTCTAGATTCGCATATTGAATGTACCACAGGTGAGCTTGGTAATACATTAACATTACCTGATTGTACGAGTGTTTCATAATATTGTATCTTTTACAGAATATAAATATGATTTTTTTGAGTGTAAACATATTTTTATAACGAATAAAGATTAAGAGGTCGAATGTGCTCGACTTGATGTTGCCAGGTTTAACAACCATACAAAAGAACTATTGAATTTTGCCATTTTTATCACTATCTACGTTTTTCATCACTAAACTAGTTTGTATGTAGTGAAAAATTTTCTTGATGATACTCAAGTAAGATTATTTCCAAACAGTTTAGATCATATTTTATATGATTTAATTGACTCCTCATATTCTTTTCGATAATATCCGTTAACTGTTAATTTAATGAATTATTTTTCACGGTTCTTTGTCTATTCTTTTGTTGAGATACGTATGTGGATTTGTAAACACTACATAAATGTAATTGGAAAGCATGTATGACATTTTTCTTCTGTTGGTTGTAATTATTCATCCCCTTCATTGTATAGAATTCGATAGCTCATTCTTATTTAGAAATTATATTGTATTTTGTTATTATTCGATGATATATATATATATATATATATATATATATATATATATATATATATATATATATTTGACCATGTCAGTCATTCACTGATGATTCTGACTGGTTTTATATGAGTGTTGTGTGGGTGTGCGTTTACCACATACAGTCTTTATAACGTTTCTTCATTTTTTTTATCTATCTGATTATAAATATTGATTCATGCTTTGTTAAAAGGAAGTTTCTACGTTTGTCTTCCCAGCTTCACATCTCGTCTTAGAGTCTTTCTAATCAAATGAGTACTTGAAATAGATTCATCTGAATTAATTCGTATTTGGCCTCTTATTACACTCGTCGCCTAAACGGCGATAAATTAGATACACTGAACCAAACAGAGGATTTCTGTTCATAGTCGGTCAACGTTAATCCCTTCGTCATTACTCATGTAATCGATATGTTGACACACATTATTCAAACAACATGTAGCTACCTAACATATTTGAAGAGAATTATATAATGATCGTAAGACAAATCTGTGCTCTAATAAAATGTACATTCGATTTGCGGCTTTCTGACTTTCTGAATCCAGAGGGAGAGAGACAGAGTTCTTACTGATAATGTATACTTGATCTCCCACACATTTCTGTATATTGTACCATATAGATTTTACTTCATATGAATATGAAATCTGTGGTTATTTACACTTCAACATTGAGACAATATTCACCATTCAGTTGATGTAGTATAACTAAACACAATACAATGATGTCCGCACTGACATATAAGTTGTAAGTCGAACGTGACAAGAGTACACTGTTGAAATACAACTAATCAATGACAACCGGAAATCGTGTAATAATGATAAGTGACACACTGATATTAGTAGTATCCTTCAAATCTGTGCTTCACTGATCTTAAACCATCGGTTGCAATGTACAAGTGACGTTTTGTATAAAATTGTGCATTTTATTGTTGATTAGTTGTTTTTCATTTACAAACGTACATGGTTCAACTTCATTAAATATTTAACCGTTCGTACTTGTCTTTGTTTATTTCCTAGGTTGGCTTGAACCACTTTTAGATCGTATTGCTTACAATTCGTCAATTGTTGTTGTTCCTGTAATATCGACTATAAGTGATAAAACGTTGAAGTTTAATTTTCTTAAGGCGACTCATGTTCAAGTTGGTGGATTTGATTGGAGTTTAACATTCCGATGGCACGAACAAACTGAACGTGACAAAAGTCGACCTGGTGCACCATATTCACCTGTTAGGTAATTAATACAGACTAGATTTTGTGATCTAACTAAATTTTATCAAGATTACGTAATATGAATAATAGCAGTAAAATTAATAAGTTAGTAGCGGATTATAATGTGAGTGTAATAAGTTGATTAGAATGTTTTGTTACAGTAAATAAAGGTAATAGAGGTGGAAAATTAAATGAAGTTATGTAGGGAAGAATTATGGGTAAAATCATGAGGATATTTTGCACCTCTACTACCTTTAATTATTGTAGAGAAACTTCTTAATCATCTTACTGCATTCACGCAGTAATTCGTTTGCGTTGGCGCACGAGACCGAAGGTCCTGGATCCGAGTCCCGCATGCGAGATCGTGGAAGCGCACTGTTGGGGGGTCCCATAATAAGACAAAATGGCCATTCAGTGTTTCCAAGTTTTCAGTGGTGGTCTAGCTTATATATTAAGAGTTATATTGTTATTATTTATATTACGTAATGTAGTATTATAGTCTTTCGATAGCACCATCATGTTCATTCCCTGTTCACATGTCCTCATGGAACTAGTACTTCAACATAAAAAAATTTCATGTAAATTTCATCTGTTCAAAAACTGCTGTTATCAATCTTTTCATGTTTTTACTTAAGTTTTCTTCGTAGAGATTGTTTTTCTCTTTTTGAAATCGAATGACAACCTGGTAGTATTCAAATGTATTCAACAAAAATTCAGTTAGACTGGTTTATTTTCTGCATTTTAGGCTTTTTTAATGCAATCAGTTAATGATAATTGTACAGTATAGAGTTGATTTGATCGTTAAAGATTATATATGTTTTTGATAATTTTGATTATTACCTCGAACAAGTTCAGTCAAGTTTGCTAGACGAAACTTTGGAATCATTTTAATTTCAACCGCTGAGATTATGTGAAATATGATTTCCACATATGATGATAATTATTGTTATTGAAATTACAGACAATGGTCTTTATTTCGACGCGCGGATTCCCATGCCTAAGTAATCTTGGACGTAACAGACACCCATTGCTTCTAGGTTTTTAGTGGTGATCTGGCTAAGATCAGGATTTGATTTAAAAACTATGGAACTTCTGTCATCTTGATATATCCTTTATATTATTAAAAAAATGTTTCTGTCTGAAATACTTCACCACACAAAAAACTTCCTGAGTGTTTTGAACTAGTAGGGAACCCCACTTTTTCGCTTGTCATCAGTTATAATCAGTGATATCTCTTTTATTCCTCTGATATATGCTTTTTATCTATCAAACTACAATGGTTAAATCCTGACATGACTACAATCCATTAAATTCAAAGTTTTTATACCTTTAAATAGATTAAATTTCCAGAATTAATTCTGAACAGTTTTAAATAGTAAAGGGGAAAAAACACATATCATAAACATTTGATTTTTCTTTACTTACATTTTTCATCGAATGATTTCCTCACTCCATCTTATTATGTTTTCTATAATTAGTTGTTTGTCAAATTTAACAACTTTCAGGTAATTAAAGAACGTTAATTGAATAATTCCTCAATAGACTTTAAAAAAAACACGACAGAACTTATGACTTCGAGATGAGTACTTCAATCAATGCATCGTAACTAGATCATTATTTATAAAATTTAATGAATTAGCTACATATTGCATTGTTTTTTACTTGTCCTTATAAGGATTACTGTAAAAGTATTAGTCAATGATTATTTAATATTTCGATTGATTAAGTAATTATTCCTATTATGCAATTGTTTTTATTGACTGAATGTTGTTTTTCTATATTAATCTCTTTGGTATATTGGTTGATTGAAATTCGTGAAAATCACTTTAGTTATATAATTTCTGTAAAATATAGACTTGTTTGATTAATGCACTTCATGTGTAATGTAAATCGAATTTTCAAATTGTTCGCTTCTACTTTTATTGAGATATGAGCTACCAATCGTTTACGTAATTTCTACTACATTTTCTACACACCGTATATGTACTTGGAGTCATAGTTATTGTACAAAAAATGTTGTGTCAATCATAGTTTACAAAAAATAATATTGCGAATTGATTGAATTTAAACGTGTACAACATGGATTGACAGCTCAGTGATCTAGAGGAGTTATGGGTACGTGCATGAGATCAAATCTCCTGGGTTCGATCTTTGGCAGGGTTGTACGTTCACACCTCTGAGTAGTTCTCTGATGTAATGAAACAGTTGTCCATTACTTCTTGGTTTTCAGCGATGGCCAAAGTTGGATCAGTCTATGATGCAAATTGTGTGAATAGAATAATCTTCACAAAACTCCAAAACTCAAAATAATAAATATCTGCACGAAATATTAATCCACATAATAATCAATCTTTTTCTTGCACTTTTATAATCTGTGAAAGACACCCTTCACATGGTTGACTTGGTTGTCCAGTTTTGATTTGTGGATCTTGTATATATGTTCATCATTTTTCGGAAATAAATATCCAGACATTTTTGGTAGTCAACCTAATAACGTTAGCCAACCCAGTTTCATAAATTGGATTCATGTACCTAGTTTAAATTACTTTGACTTTTTTATACCGATTTCTCTTTAGCTCACTTTGATTAGACTGTGTCAAATGGACCATAGTTTTCGATGTTCAAATAATTTAATTTACTCGTAAGTTACTAGTATTTGATCACAGATCTCTTAGAAATATTGCCAGCATCTGCTGTGATCGCAACTTAGTTCCTAAAGCTGAATTCTAAAAGACATACTTATTTTTTGATAAAGAAAAGGTTGGTATACTGAGGCAATCAGACATATGCCAAATAACTTGTAAAAGATATTGACGCGTACATGAACCATATCAGCTTAAGCTTATGTCACGGCAGCAACCAAAAAAATCAAGCATCCCATTTGAATCGATGGAAATGATGACATAAAAATTTCCTACACAAGCCACTTCAACAATGCTGTTTGAGGTAATGAAATCTATCCCAATAAAAATGTTATAATAACCCATAGTGTTATTGACGCGGTAGACGCTTAACTTCGAGATCAACAAGCTGGATTCCGTAGGGATCGGTCGTGCACAGACCAAATTAAGACACGGATAATCGTCGAACAATCAGTTGAGTGGAACTCGTCACTGTACATCAACTTCATTGACTATGAAAAGACATTTGACAAAGTAGATAGGAGAACGTTATGGAAACGTCTTCGACACTATGGAGTTCCTGAGAAGATTATCAACATTATCCGGAACTCAAACGACGGACTACAGTGCAAATTAGTGCATGGAGGACAGCTGACAGATGCAATACCAAGTAAGGACCGGATTCAGACAAGGCTGTCTACTCTCTCCCTTCCTCTTTCTTCTGGTGGTTGACTGGATTATGAAGACCTCGACATCTGAGGGAAAACGCGGCATACAATAGACAACTCAGAACCAATTAGACGATTCGGACTTCGCAGATCACCTAGCCCTCCTATCCCATACACACGAACAAATGCAGGTAAAGACAGCCAGTGTAGCGGCAATCTATGTATCAGTAGGCCTCAGCATACACAAAGGGAAAACCAAGGTCCTCAAATTCAAAGCGGAAAACAGCAATCCAATCACACTTGATGGCGAAACTCTGGAAGATGTAGAGTCCTTCACAGACCCAGAAAGCATCATCGATGAGCAAAGAGAGTCAGATGCAGACGTAAAGGCGAGGATTGCCAAAGCAAGGGCCGCATTCCTTCGATTGAAGTACATATGTAACTCAAAACAACTGTCATCTAATATCAAAGTGAGAATCTTCAATACCAATGTCAAGGCAGTTCTACTGTGCGGAGCTGAAACTTGGAGAACTACAACAACCACCATCACCAAGAAGGTACGAGTATTTATAAATAGTTGTCTACGCAAGATACTCAACATCCATTAGTGAGATACCATCACCAACAGCCTTTTGTGGGAGAGAAAAAAACCAGGTTCCAGCTGAAGAGGACATTAGGAAAAGACGATGGAAATGGATAGGACATACATTACGCAAATCATCAAACTGCATCACAAGGCAAGCCCTAACCTGGAATCCTGGAGAGAAGCGGAAAAGAGGAAGACTAAAGAACACATTACGTTGGGAAATCGAAGCAGATATGAAAAGGATGAATAAGAACTGGAAGAATCTGGAAGGGATTGCCCAGGACAGGGTTGGATGGGGAATGCTGGTGAGCGGCCTATGCTCCTTCACGAGGAGTAACAAGCGTAAGTAAGTTATTGAATAAGAAAAAGAGAATTCAACGAAAAAAATTTCTTCGAAATAAAATTTTCTTGGCTGGATTCTTTTTTTCTTATTCAAAATTTTTATAATTAAATTATGGTTTAAATGATACAAAGATATTTCTCAAGCTGATTTTTTTTACATTATTTTAATGCTTCAACAATCAACGTTCTTCTTTGAAAACTCAGATTAGTTGAATACAAAAAGCATTCAAATCATATTTTCTCAAATAAGTCAGTCACCTTACAAGTGTTAATTGAAATTTTCGTTATTCACACTTTTTTGTTTCACTATCGTGTTATCATGACTACAATAAAGGCAACTATAATGGGTATTCACTGAATTGATTATTAGTTATTAGATTTAATTTGAATGGTCTACATTGGCTTTCACTGTTATTCACTATTTATTGAATGATTTATATCCGTACACTATTGCTTATAACAAGTAGTTCAACAGAGATTCTAAATTTGAGGACACTTTATTCAATATTAATTTATCTACGTGTTTATAATTTCATTTATATTTAAAAGATATTTTGATTGTATCATGAGTTTTAAATGTTCATATCTCTGTAGAGCATTGTTCAAAGAATAAAAAAAGACTACTTCAATTATAAGGTTACATAATGGATCCTTAAAACATTTACTTAAGTTTTTATAAATGAAGCATTATTACATTATATAGACCTGTGTTTAATATAATCCATAATTGTATTTTTAGAAATTCTATTTAGTATTTTATAATGTTAACCCCATCATTTTATCAAACGTCAAAACACAAATTTGAGTTGATGTTTTTCTTTTGATCATTCCAAATGGTATTTATTTGTCATTTACACTTCATTATTATAAACGTTTATAATACTATACTCTTATCAATACACATTTTGACATAAACAACATTCTTGTACATACTTAGATCTAGATTACATAACATGATTTATACTTTATTTTAATATTTAATAGGCCTTTCGAAATAATCTAAGTATTATTATTATGATGATGATTAATGTTCGTTTCTTATTTACTCTAGTGAACTGTATGCGCATTCGTGTGTTGTAAAATATTTGGGAATTCTGTGAAAATAGTTCTATTATATATATATATATATATATATATATATATATATATATATATATATATCAACTTAATTTGTGTAGATTTTTATTTTCCTGAAAGCATCGCCTTGATGCTATCATTTTATCATAAATATTTTAGGCTATAAATTATAAAGAAGTGTTCAAAATAATCTTGATGAATTTGACTAAATTCTTAGTTGATTAGTGATATGTCTTGTTGATTGAATGCTACTTGTTATTACCTGGTCATCGTTGATTGTTATGTCGAAAACGCTTATCAATTATAAACGAAACGATAGACCTCTGCAATTCTCACGACGCGAAAGTAAGAACACAAAGATTGGTATAAGTGAAGATTTATTAACGTCCAAAACACGACGACCCTAGTCGAAAATACATTCGTTTATATATTAATTAGTACACACACTTTGATGAATAATTAGAATGAAATCACATATGTAAAAAATACTCAGTTATAATAAATCATAAGCTGAGCATAGTTTATATCCATTGAATACAAGAATATCGTATGTTATACAGAATGAACTATCATACGAGAAAAGAAAACAAATACCGCATTGAGTAATCATTATATTGAACCAAAACGGAAGTAATGTTATTATTATTATTTTTATTAATGGCTTTATTCAATATTATATTTTGGTACAATATAGAATTCTCAGCACTGGGTACTTCAACAAGTTACTTACGCAAAAAAAAACAGCAAGAAAAACAAAAAAAGAACAAGAAAGGTTTAAAGAAAACCAAAAAAACTGTACAACTTTTCAAATTACAGACATGTTAAGAATGCAGGTTATTGATTACGTTAACTCTAACAAACTGTTCGTCACAGAGTATATTTGCTTGGTAAGGTATTATAAAACTTTTATACTTTTGCTTGCGTGCATGGATTTAATGTAATTACATCTCGTTCTACCAGAAGATATACAAGGAGAAAGATAAGAGTGAAGGGGATGGTTAGTATCTGATAAAATAACACCTGCCAGGAGTTTGCATGACTTTAGATGTCTATCCACAACCATATTAATTATGACCTCGAAAGATTCACCACACATCTTGCTAACTGCCTTCAGCACTTTCCGCAATACAGCAAAGTCTTTTCTCAAAAGCCCGGGATAAAAATCATAATAAGTAAATCAATCTAATTTTGACTTTTACCATCATATCAGTCAGAAAACAGACTAAGATTGGCACTGTAGTGTTTGAGAAAGAATTATGGTTGTATGGTTAAAATTCAGGGGTAGGGTTGATTTACGTGTTATAAGCAACCTAAAAAGAAGAATCGAACATTTGTAAGAACTACAATCTAAATTTGGATGAATAGTTTTACAGTAGTTGGGTACCTAATTAATGTGGAAAACATAAAAGTGATGAGTTATATTTGTAATAAATATCTCGGCAACCAAAGTAAATCCAACGTTTGATTATATTTCCTTCAAAAAGCTTGAACCAAATTGCCGTGTGTAACGTTGGATTTTATCAAATTTCATTTTCGGAGATCTTTTACAGATATGATTTTCCTCTTTAATGGCATCATTTTTACTCTTTAATATCAAGAAATAAATTCTGTATATAACTTTAAATGTTCTAGTCACTTTACAAAAGGTGTTCGTACTGCTCTTATTACATGATGTAAGCTAAAATTGAGTGAGTTTAGGGTTAGAACCCTTTAAATCATTTTCTTGTTTCTATATGATCTACCGTTTTGAATAAGTTCAGATAATGATAGTAGTAGAGTTCAGTACACACATTTGATCCCATTTTGGATTTGTCAGCACTCCAGTACGAATGTTCACACTGAAACTCGAAACTAGTGCGCTTCACTTCGAATAATTGTATGCTGTTTGAACTTAATGGCTCAATAGGTAACTCATTTCTTTGTAAAACGAACTCTTTTGAGTTTGAGTTTTATTGTGAGCATTGACATTGTTATACAAGTACATCCACTTGGTGAATCTCAGATAGGATGAAATGCATATCTTAAAATTTTCTTGATGCCAACTGCCCAAATTTAGTAAATCATTCGAATGCTTTCTTCGTAAAATTCATCATGTTTTCTTAGTATCTAATTGATAACAATGTGTGTATATTTATAATATTTTGTCAGTCATCTGTTTCATGTTTATTACTCCAAGTAAATATTACTATTTCTCAGTTCTCATTTTATTCTAAGCAATTAGTCCCTTTGATAAATTTCGATAATGTAATAAGAAGACGAAGATTATCAGAAATATGTAGTTCTGATAATCTTCGTCTTCTCATTTTATTATTTTTTATTGTTTTACTATTTCGTTTCTTGTAATAGTTGTAGCATTTGAACATATAAATGACGATTGTCCTCATGAATTATGCTTATTAACGGTTCGAAATTCGTTTGTGTGTGTATATATGGAGGAGGATTTCCTTTAATGTTGATTAACTGAGGTGATATATTTATTCTATCCATTCTCAAAGAACTGTGCTATTCCATTTGAAATGTTTTCATTCATTACTCATCACTTATTTCGTTTGGTTTTATTCTTTTGACTAAGTACTAGAGATTTATACGGTAACAATAGTAATATTTATAGATAGTCTGCATTAATTGCATGTATTTACATACACATGCCTACTATAATAAACACTATTTGTTGCATTTCTTTTTTAAAGTCTAATATTTGTCTTAAAAGTTGAATTGATGAGTCGATCCACTGAAAACCTGGAAACACTGGACGGCCATCTCCTCCTAGTAGGGACTCTTCAGCATCGCGAATACAAGTTCCCACACATGGGCCTCGAACCCAGGAAATTCGGTCTCGCGCACGAATGCTTAACGTTCTAGACCACTGAGCCGGCTGGCATTCAACAGTGTCAATGTCTAACTTCAATCGGTCCCTGATCTTACGCAACCCTTCATCCATTGTCTGGAGTGGATAACTCTCTCCATTTGACACGGATTGGATTCCACTGGTCACGGCTTCTCGCTAGAACCCCAGGAAATCCATTTTCAAGCTAGTCACTACCGAACATATGGTTATTATCAGAAGGGGTGTTTGTGGAGCTTAGATAAACTCGTCAACTCATCTGTTAAATTACTACAATTTCCACAAGTCCCTATACTAATATCTATTTCTTATGTGTATTAATCCTTTTTTTAGTTGTATGAAATTGAATATAGACACAATGAATTGGCATTTTAGTTATTAGTTATCTGTTGTACAATGTAAAAAGTGTATGTAATTAGCCTACATGAATAACGATTATTTCTATAAATTACTAAAAATTCCCATATTATTGTATTAATTCTATTAACTGTTGCAGATCATTGCGTCTATATGAATATTTACATGTGTGTGTGCATTTATGTATGTATTAAAGATAGTTAATTACTGTAACTGATATTCCACAGGTAAAATACGTAAAATACGTTCTTGAGTGTTCCAATGATAATTTAAATTATAAACTGAAGCCATTTGGTGAACCATTAGACACACCTACAATCATCCATAAACCAATGACATTTATTTCTCATAGTAAGTTCGATACTCCTAGTTCTGTAGGTCAGCACATAGTAGTTATTTTATCACATAGCATAATCCCCATTCAATAACCTTGGTTATTTCTCGACTTTAAATCAAACTGACTACACAAGTGATAAGTTGGTCTTGTTGACTAGCGATAAAAATTTTCTTCAATATTTCTTTTTGTTTAGAATGAACAAATCTCGTTAAAACATTTAGATAAGTGCATAAGAATACTCTGACATTATTTAAGTGATAAGAAACTAGTGTACACTGATCTTGTATCCATTTATTTTCCCTGTTCGTCATGTTTCTATTCTTCAGATCACCTACCATGGCAGGTGGTTTATTTGCTATAAGTCGTGAGTATTTTAATCATCTTGGGAAGTATGATTCTGGTATGGAAATATGGGGAGGTGAAAATTTGGAACTGTCATTCAAAGTAAGCAAAAATGTATATATCTGCTTGCATTCTTCTACCTTAAAATGAAATTTTTGCATTTCAGTTAGTTCAGTTTGTTTGTTGTGCATTTGTTCAGTCAGTTGAAACCTAGTTTTACTTCTGTCTTACTCCCTTTAATCTGCTTCATCTAATTTAAATGGACAGCGAAAATTCATAGAAATTTAAGAAATAAGTCACGCTTTCTTACGTATAACAAATAATTACACTACTGCTCCTTCCCAAACCGAAATCAGTGAAGCATAATGCAAACTTGAGAGGTGATTGCATCAAGTCAAGTCTGGTAACCATTAGTCTGTCATCTTTTACTGAAACATTCAACCAGATATTAACTTGTTCTAAAATACAACCCATATGTATCAGTAGTGTATTCGTATTTGCTGAGGTAAATAAAAATATATTAATTATATAAATTATTTGAATGTCAGCCATGCAATTCATGTATTTGCCTGAGCTACAGATTTCTATTTACGTATAATGATAGTCACAAATGAATTTTGATATTTGCATGCATATTTATGTAGGCGGTTGATTGTATTATTTTGTCTTGATTGGTATTTCCGTTCTCCCTTATTTATATTTAGACAACTTAATCTAGATAATTGAGAAAAACAAACATCACTATATAATTTGTCAAATATAATAACCTATTGTCGACTAGTTTGTTTTATTTTCATCTTGATTTTACAACAATTATGGAGATTCATTTGTTGTATATTAGCCGTTGAATTATGTTTAAAGTAGAATAGTTCATTATTGATTTAAAAACAATGATGAAATAATAGCCATGGAAATAGTTACTCGAATGTTCAATCGAACTGGTTAGCATTCGAGTGATGTTGTAGTGTTGCTTATAGAATATTATAGAATACTATTAGTGTTTAAGGGTTATGTAGAATACAACTGTGAAAGCGATTTACAAACTTGCATACAAAATACTCATCTGAAATCAGATAACATAAAACTGTGTTCGATATCTCAGTTATTCTACCTTAGGTGATTTAAGCTAATGGCTTGATTATCTACTTTTATTGTGACTAGCATTTTATAATTAGAATGCTAATTACTTACTTACGTCCGTTACTCTTCATGGAGTAGCATAGGCCGCAAGCCATCATTCTCCATCGAACTCTGTCCTGGACAATTCTTTTCAGTTACTACTCATCCTTTTCATCTTTGCTTCCAATTCTTGACTTAGTGTGTCCTCGAATCTTCCAGTTTTCCGTTTTTCTTCAGGATTATGGAGTAAGGTCGGTTGTCCTTATGAAACACCAATAACTGACATTTCTTGTTATGTTTTATAGTATATTCAGTTAGGCGCACTTGTATTCGTAGATCAAAACAGCTTTTCTTACGTAGTTTTTTAAGGAACATGGTCAGCCAAAACTATAGAACCTGCACTTGAGCGTCTCTTTGTGTACTAACTCTGTAATATAAATTCTGAAATAATGGACATGGAAAGTGATTACCATGCAAAATCTCACGAATGCGAACATTCTCTGGTGTAAGGAAATATTACCCGGTAATCAAGATACTTGACAGCCGACTGTTGTGTTATGTTTCCAAAACAAAGTTCTGTTATCTCTGCTCAGACACTTTTTAATTTCTATTAGCAATAATATATAATCTGTATTTCAACTTCAGCACACAAAACTGTACGTAGATAGGTACTGAGTTACAATATATTCGCTTTACAAACTACCTTAGTGTCTTTTTACTAAAACGTTTAATATTCACATTTTTTAAATCATATATAAGCTCCATTAAGTAGTTTAGAGCGATAAATTATTAATGGATCAATCAAGAACCAGATTGCTAATTTAACTAAAGTTGGTTCAGTGATTGTAGAGATAGTTATGAAATATATTAAGAGTTCAGTACCGAAATAATTACAGTTTATTGAAATTTTAATATTTAATGAATGTTTTCCCGAATATTTTCAGTAAATTTATTACATGAAAACGGTTATATGATTCAGAATTTAAGTGGTTTCTAAGCTTTGACCGTCTTTAAATGGAATAGAATCAAACGATGGAATTATGGAAATAATTCACTTCCAAGAATAGTTCAATTGTAGAACTGAGATATTAGTTTTATGATCATTGATAATTTTTCCAGATCAAAAAATGTTTGTAAATATTTTACACCATTCCTTTACTTACTTACTTACTAACGCCTGTTACTCCCAATGGAGTATAGGCCGTCGACCAACATTCTCCAACCCACTCTGTCCCGGACCTTCCTTTCTAGCTCTATCCAATTGTTGTTCATCCTTCTCATGTCTATCTCCATTTCTCGACGTAATGTGTTCTTTGGTCTTCTTTGATGCTTCTTCTTGATTTCTTCCTCTGCTGAGATCTGGTTTGTTCTTTCCCACAGTAGGTTGTTGCTGATAGTGTCTGACCAATGGATCCATTGATAATCATATATTATTGACTAAATTAGTTAAGGATTCATGAAACAAATGGAGTTTTAAAGTTTTCTGATAAATTCTCATTTTAAAAAATTCTGAATAGTTTGTGCGGTAGGATTATAAATAAAAAGAATGTATTTGTAATTTCCAAATGTATAGAACAATTCGATTTTCCGACGTTTTGTGACTCAGTGTAAGCCACTTCTTCAGAGAATGAACAAACAAATCAAGATTAACCCAAGGTTAAATAATACAAAGGAACAAAGCAAGAATATTAGATGCGATCAGTCAAAAAAAGAGGTCTGGACAAGTCAATGTCATGTCATTCCGGTCAAGATAATTTATGTGCGATATGTATGTAAATTGTGTGTGTGCATTTATGTATGCTCAGGGATGAATAAATATGACATTTGTGGTGAGGAAGGATAGAGTTTAATTTGTATGTACGATAATAGTGTGAAAGATGAGTAATATCAGACATGGTAGCTTGGATAGATAGCTCAAGTCGTTTGGATAGTGAGGCTGTCTTTTCTATTGACAACAGTAGGATTAAGCATTATATGGAAAGTTTCAGCTATTCTGCTTTCTTTCTAGTTGAAAAGCCTTTTTGTATGATTTTGATGTTTTTGATTTCGATTTGATGGTTGTTGAAAATGGCGTAAACTGCTGTTGCTGATTTAATTTGAAGTCTATCCAGTTCTACGGGATTATTAGGTGGTTTCTGTGTATATACTAAGATTCTTTTCGGCTCGAGTCGAGATTTCACGAGATGACTCTTCAATATTGAAGGCATCACATTCAACACATCCTAATTTCTAGACACAGTTATTTATTAACGTAAAAGTGATTTTTTTTCTTTTGGAGAAAACTAAAGTATTTTGAAGGGTGTTTGTTGTTTTGTGATATGCTTTAATTCTGTGTAGTTTTAAAATCCTTCATTTTTAGTAATGAAATTATTAAGTATACAATAACTACTAGATCATGTCGTTACTTCTTTCCTCCTTTCAATCTATTCATCATTTGTGATATGTACTATTTAGGTTTGGATGTGTGGTGGTAGTTTAGAAACTGTCGTATGCAGTGTTGTTGGACATATTTTTCGTAGTCGTTCACCATACAAATGGAATATTAATGTAAAAGATCCTTTGAAAAGAAATCTTCTCCGTTTGGCTGACGTATGGCTTGATGATTATAAACGATTTTATCATGCTCGTATTGGATTTAACACTGTAAGTTTGCTATACTTAAATTGTATTTGCTTTTTATTGAATGTATATAACTTACTAAATTCAGGGATATATTGCTTGTAAAATAAGTTCAGATTACCCTAATAAGCTTCACAAATCATTCCTATCTAAACTCGTTAGCTATATAAACAACATTCTGTTATGTGACACTTTCATTTTACCGCCTTTTTGTTATAGTAAAAATAACGTGTTGGATAAATATTCAGTTAGAAGAAGAAAACCTTTGTTCTGAATTCCTGTATGTTTCCTTTCACAGACAAAATTGACAATTATTCAAAAAATATCTTTCTTCTCATGTTGATATCAGTTATAATGCGCTTTGAATTTATAATTATCTATATAGTTATTTTCATTCACACTTTGGAATAAATGATGATTGCATCTTAACAATAACATTGACACTTGGGTTGATTTGATGAATTGAAAATGGTGATGATAAGTAGGTTAACCGAACCACCTAAAACTGAACATAATCTTTTTCTTCTTATCGTGTAAGTGTTTGAATCATTTGATTGTTGATAATAACGGATGAATTTTGGATGTTCTGTGTTGACATTTGTACATCCTGTGTGGATTATTGCCTTAACTATTGAAAAGCGCTCTGTGGATCCGATTTCTAATCAAATCCCATATTTTCTAAATAGCAATGGTTATTTGCTGAAATTATTCAACAGGCTCTATCATTATGTCTTCTTACGCGTGTGCATAAATTTTTAAACTAAAATTTTTTCGTGAGAAGAGACAGATAGTGGTTAGGTATGGAATCTAGGACACGTGTTTCGTCCTATTTTAGGACTCATCGGCTGGATGAACCTGCATCTCAGTGTTGATGTTCACTACGGGACGCAAATCTGGTACCGTTCGCTTCAAACACTGCTATTTTATTGGTTGTTTAAATCTTCGCATTGATGATGCAATTGATCAGTCTCTTATTGGCATATGTGCATCCTATGCGGTTGCCTCATCATTGCCAGAATTTGCAAGCATTATAAGCCGAGAGGTGAAAACGAATTTTTACTTCTCATTTCAAAACTAATGCAGCTTAATTTTGAAAATGTTTATAATAGTGTAATTATTTTATAAGGTTATTTTTCGGTATTTTTGATCTGGTCAAGAATGTCCAAAAGTAGTCGAGAATCAAAATTTGAGCATTCATTTTAGAGTACATGTTGGATTCATAAATATTTTCATGCTCTTTTTTAAGGTAAAATACAGTAAATTTCAGGAGACGCAATTAACTCTTAGCGATTAATCGCGTAATAAATGATTTTCTCCTTTCTGTATTTACTCTGATTTAGATTGATTTTGGAGATGTTTCAGAACGCAAAGCCTTACGAGAAAAACTGAAATGTCACTCATTTGATTGGTATTTAACCAATGTTTATCCTGAATTATTTGTTCCTTCGAAAGCTTTGGCTTCTGGTGATGTAAGTTTTTTTTTGTCGTACATTTTCTGTTTTCTACGGAATTCAATGTTTAAACATGAGCTATTCCCCAAGTTATGTTTGCAATTTGTTTTATTTTTTTACAACTGATCAGTCACTTAGTAGTTACTAATGTCATTTATGCCGCGTCCTTCTTGGTGTTGATCGAATTATATTGATCACGTTATCACTAGTCAGGTTAAATCGACATCATTTTTGCCATGATGGGACGTTAGATGGTTGAACATCAAAAGTATACTTGGACCAAGGATTTGTGCTAGTTGGCAATGCTCGTGTAGGCGTACATGTTATCTAGAGGTGACGAACACTCGCTCATTGGGCTTGACAGTTTGAGACGTTGTTTCGTATGTATGGATAAAATGAGTATTTTGACCGGAATAGATGACAGATCTTAATTATCAAGATTTTGCGTTTTACAGTACGATTACAGGGAAGTTAGTGGAAATTCATGTTTTCAAAGATGACGTGATGCTAGTCAAAATGAGTAATTACGGTTACTTGCAACGATCTTTTATTTGGCTATAAACGATTATTAGTCTATTATCCTATATAATTATACTGATTACAGCTTAATTTATCTCTATTGTACTAATATGATCTTGTCTATGTATAAAATTTTCTTAAAATTTACTGAACTAACATTGATTTCATCATTCACAAGTCAGTGATTTCAATGAAATCTATCTGGTAGATGGTTTATTATTTCAACAAACGTTTGCAGCCATGTTTTATCACATTTGAACTACATTTTTTTTTCTGTGTTACACTTATCCGTATAAGAAATTTCTCGTATTTCTTGCGGTCTACAAATTCTGAAGCTTTGTCAAGTCACTACTCCGTTTCTTATTGTTAAAAATGTCTTCTGTTACCTTTGTTTATCTATTTCAATCCATCATCCATGAATAATTTCCCTTAACCATAATATTGGACATTTCCAGTGATATATTCTGTCATATTTATTGGTGACCTTGTAAGAACTGGAAAATAAACTCTTTTGGAAATGTCATTATTAGCCTTAAATACTATATTGAAATGATATTTCAACATGGAAACTTGTACCTTTTGTTTTAGGCAAATAGTAAACATAGTATGAACGTTGAAAAGCAGAATGTGAATAAAACTGAGGAATTATTTTGATAGATAATACTTTTGATATGATGATCCAGCTGTTACTATTGTGATCGCACCCGATGCGTCAAATTATGGAATTGGAGCAGTGATTTCACATATCTAATCCAATGAATCTGAGAAAGCCATATAAAGTGCAGCTAGATCGTTAATTACAGCAGAACGTAGCTACAGTCAGATCAAGAAGAATGCATTGACATTTTTCTTTGCTATAAAGAAGTTTCACGAGATGATATTTGGATGTCAGTTTACGATATTAACTTACCATAAACCATTGCTGGCCACATTCGGGTCGAAAAAAAGATTCCGGTGTATACAGCGAACAGACTGTAACGATTGAGAAGTACATTCTTGGGTTACAACTACAAGATTAAGTACCATCACACTACTTATTTTGTACAAGCCGATGCCTTGTATAGACTGTTTGGTTCACAAGTGAAACGTGAAGAAAAATATTCTTGTGTTGTTCCGTTGTACTATTTAAACATGGAATTATTTTGGTTTGGTTATTTATTCTCTGAAGAAATGGCCCACACTGAGTCACGAAACGTCAAAAAATTTAATTTTCCTACTCATTGGGAAGACGCTGTCGATGGTCTACCAGTTACTTTCAAAGCTATCAAAGAAGCTATGTAAAATAAAAATATATTAGGAGAAGTTAAGTGTTGTCTTCTCACCAAGTGGCCGAACCGTCGTTTTGAAGGAGAACTGCTGCAATATTTTCTCTGACGGAACTCACTCAAGATTGGTGATTCATGTATTATGTTCGGCGGCAAAATTATGTTTACGAAAAACACTACGCCACAAGGTTTTGAGACCATTCCACATTTGCCATCCCGGCATCTATAATACAAAGTCGTTCGCTCGAAGCTATGCTTACTGGCCTACAATGGTTCGAGATATCGAAACTAGGTGCCTCAATTGTTCGTTGTGCTTGCAAGCAGCCAAAAGCCTTAGGTCGAGTGGGCCACAACAAAGGAAAAAGCCTGATAATCCCTGAGAGAGTCTCCACTCAGATATTGCAGGCCCACCACGAGGAAAAGTGTTTTTAGTCATGGCTGATGCACTCACGAAATGGCCAGAAATCTATGCTATGACAAATTGCATAACCAGTGAAACAATCAGCAAGTTACTGGATTGTAGAAAATTTCTTGAAACCTACATCTCATAAAATCTGAAGGTTTATTTAATGGGATGGTGATTAAAATACGTATACTTCAGCGAAAATAGTGTTTCTCTTTGAAATCACCTTGTTTAAGTTTTACATTCTTATTCTTGACAACAAGCCTCGTTGAATTTCTTTTGGATAACTGTCTTCCTGGAACTAATATTGGACGTTGCAAAACCCCTTGTTATGAGTGAACATATTTTTAAAAAATGTGTATTGATTCTTCACTGATGGACTTGGATAAAGGTTGTATTAGATCGCGAATAAAGAGAGCGAAACGAAATGACGCTCAGTGGAGAAGGCGTGTGAACCAACACCATTTAATCATGCGTTAATCAGTATTTATAGCCAGATATAAACAAGTTACAGATATGTGATGAAAAGAATAAGAAGTGTACTTACATATACTCTCATATAAAAACAGTCAAGGCTGATAAGTGAATAATTAACAAGGTCAAAACGTAACTCAAGAATAATGGGTAAAGTTAGAACAAGGGAATTGGGCTTAACATAGCAACCTACACTACAACAGTTTAGTACACGAAAAATGTATGACTTGGTTTTGTTACTGTGGTAACGGTTCCAAAACACATCAAATTCGGGACCTGGAGATTTTTTGTGAGATTATTTTTGAGTTGAGGATATAATAAACTATATTAAGGAAAAACTTCAACATAGATTATGAGCAACTTCTAATTACCTGCTGCTGTATTTTAATTTTCACCATATTTCACAATACTTCCGAACAAAATATAATATAAAATGAGACTTGTAAGCACATTAATAAATTCGATGGTTAATAACCTTAGTTATCACCAATTTCTTTTAGGCAGTCTGATTTTTGTTACCAGTAGAAAATTAACCTGAAATCACCACTTTAAATAAGATCCATATGTGATTAGATTATAAATCCAACGAACAGTGTAGTCTTTATCACGTACAAAAACTGCCACTGAATACTTTTACACTGCAAAATTTACTTTCATAGTCTGCTGCTTCTTCCGTGATTGCTTACTTCAGTTTATTGCACTTTTATGTTCATTTAAAACGTCGAACCTGCGTTGTTCATTGATAACACGTCTCCTTCTAAATTAACATATGTATATATGTGATTTTAGTTGGATCGTTTAATGTTGCTTCGGTTGGACTATCGGCGATCGCTAAATTTGACTGTAGATATCATATTTGAATCCAGAAAATTAACTGAAGAGTGTTAACGTGAAGCTTCACTTCAGTTAAAATGTTTAAAATGAACTATTTATATTGGTAGTGAATTGATGTAACGTGTGTTCGTAATTGGACGCAATCAATCATTTTCATTCGAAGTTTCAGATTTGTTTGTTTCAAACGAAGTATTTTTTGAGAGAAATCATGCTTACATTTGATGGTTTGTCAGTCATTTCTAATTCTGTCTTTCTGATTTTCGTCATTCGATCAATCAGTTTCATCAGTCACATTCTCCCAACCTGTTTTGTGTCCTTTCTTCATTCGGACATGTGAAACTGTGTTCAAATTCTCTCAACTTTCATTTTGGTAATATAAGTCTTTGTGAAGTGAGATGTTTTGCAGTAACCATATATGAATTTTTATTTTTGAAAACAAATGGAAAGGACAAATTGGCGACATTAAACTATTCATGTCAGAGATTAGTTGAAGAGTAGATGTTCTGGTTCAATGGTTCGACTACTTCACTCTCAATCCTTAGTACATGTGTTGACGCAGGTCAGTCTTGAGGCAAGAGTTTGCATTTAGAGTGGGCAAACACATCCCAAACACCCTGAAATTGTTGCTCAGTGCTACCAAAAGACTGCCTTTTATGAGCAACTTCAACAAGCAGGACTATATGATCTGTGTATTCTCAATCGATAAAGCGGACCTCGTGGAAGGAGATCAATGACCGAAAATACAGTTGACGAGCAAGTTATTTCCAGCAGTAGGTCTATGATGACAATTTGAAAGCCTTTAGAAAGTAGAATCGTGCAGTATAGGAGACTATTCAATACTAGGGATATCAAATCATTTCGTCCTGCCGAATACAAATAAATAACGTAACAAGCAATTATTTCATACGTTTAGCAGTCTTCTTTTATGGCGTGACGTTACTTGAACAAACATTGAATAAATCTATATGCGATGGTGGAGAATATCTGTAACTCAGGTGGATGATTTCGAAGTTTTGTTCTCTGAGATGGATCATCGTTCTTCTGATCGAAATCATCAGTACCTGAAGTTTGTGCTGATGATGTCGTTCAGAAGAACGATGAACGCTCCACGACCAAACCATCCAGCTCAGAGAACAAAGTTCCATCAAAATAAATCTATATTGATAAAGGTCTATTCTTTGGTAATTTTTACCTTGTTTAACAAATATATATATATATATATATATATATATAGTACTTGATGATTAGTTGATTCATCGATATTTCTAACATTGTAGATTGAAAGTGCTGCTGGTCCACACTGTTTGGATTCACCAACTCCTCGTACTGGAGATAAAAAACAAACTATTATCAAAATATGGCCATGTCATAAACAAGGTGGCAATCAAGTCAGTTAATCGATTGATTATTGATAGCTATGTTGAATAATGAAATAGGAATGACATAAATGCCAAAAATAGTTTACAGTACAACATAGAGTACTGTGAATAATTTTCTCTTAATAAATTATTACACTTGATGTATCTTAATGGGAAGCGTTTTTAGATATTTTTGACTAATTACTGATGAAACGAAATTTGTGAAATTTCTACATTAGAATCTAATTATTGTTCAATAAACTTTAAGGCATAACTAATCATTTTGGAAGTATAGATGCAGTCAGTGTATCGTTAATTCTGAATGTGTCAATTACATATAAGGCTCTGTGAAAAGCTTTGGATAAAGGTGACATTATTGATCGACGAACTTGTAAACTTTTTGATAGTTATAACATATACCCAAGCTACTGAGGTCAGTGTTTCAAGATGGTGTTATCAAATGAGTTATTGGTTCTTTCAAACCTCAGAGTTACTAAAATGGCGTTCCTAATGAACATCATTCATCGTTTGGAGACAACTATGGTCGAGCTTAGAGTGAGTGAACATCCTTAACTCTAAGGGGCCAGGTTTTACAGGCATAGAGTAGAACTACTGTCCTCGATACGTTATAAAGCCAATCTTGTACAGAAAATCTAACATGATGTCAGCGTCAGAGGCCCCCCCAGCTTATAATATGCCTCTTCGACCTTCACTATACGTAAATTGATCTCATCACTCAGTCCACCGCCAGCATTCACACAGCTACTTAGATGCATTAACTTCTCAACTACTACTACTACTGGTTCATCACGTACAATGGGTGCCAACAAATGCTGCTTTCAGTTTGAATAGGTTGATTATGAATACGGTGGTCTTGAGTGCTATCAGAGGTATGAGGGCGGTTATCACTTCCCGGTCGCCCACACCGTGAAGGGTTCTTCTGCAGGTACCTGAAAAGGAAATCGGGTAAGAGGTGGTCTTAGTGACCTGAGAGCTTGACCGCAGTGCCTAAGGGACAAATGCTTGAGGTCGGTCACACACGACCTTTTTATGAGTAATTTTTGTGTCAGTTCCGTACTTGTTGAGACCTTACCGCCGGAGACGGATATCCGAGGGATAAGGTGGGGTGTGCATTTTTAGGGTCGACCTTTTCTGAACCCACCCCTCCTTGTTGTAAGGCAGCATCGCTGTGATTCTGTTTGTCTGAAGGAAACACCTTACTGCTATCACACCTCTGTACAGTCAGCAGTACGACTTTGCCTTCGGACCTTGGGTTTGTTGCTTTTTAGTCTTACCGCTCTTCAACCGACCTGTCTGACATGGTAGGACCTTAAGGAACGGTTGTTCCAGCCAGTATAGCTCGGTTGCTTCATCACGATAGGCAAGCCCGACCACCACGTCAAAGTAGCAACAACGGTCGGGACTGCTCTCAGTTTAGAATATTGGACTTAGGACGAGGAAAGTACATGGTGTAGCCATGGACACTTATTGTTAACTAATTTATTCCAGATTGAATAGATTGGTTATATCATGCGCATACTCAAGACCAAATAATTTTTCTGAAGTTAAATGGTCTACATCACTGCTACTTACTTCCATTAAACCTGGTTTCCAGAATGTCATAACTAATATGCTCAGATAGAAAAATTATTAAAGTTTTGTATTTGAAAAAGCCTTAATTGAGAAGGTGAATAAGTAAACAAGCATTTTATCCTTTGAATCTTAATTCGTTTTCTTATTTGTATGTTTTCTCTCTAGTTTTGGTTATTATCACCTAACAATGAAATTCGACGTGATGATTTTTGTTTTGATTCTGGTACGAAAAACAATACCGTTGGTTTATATCGTTGTCATGGTGCACAGGGTAATCAAAAGTTTACTTATGACGAAGTACGTCTTCTAATTTGTAGTAAAAATTATTTTCATCTGCAAAATCGTCATATTATTTAATATAGAAAATTTGACTGGAGAAGAATATGTTTAATTGTTTCGTTTAAACTCAGTTGGCCCTAGCAATTGATGATACCTGCTTACCATGAACAATTAATAGGTCATATTATGCCGTCTTCAACTTGTGGCCTTGTCCCCTATTAATATATGACGTAATGATACCGCCTATTATAGAACAGTGATTTATCGATCGGACCAATAACGCGTAAAGCCGTATGAGTAGTCTAGAGTCCTTATCAGTCCTTCTTCCTGCCTAGCCCTGCTTGTTAAGTCCAAAACACCAATCTCAGCATCTGCGATATAAATTTTTTTTCAAAAGTACTTGGTTTGTATACAAACGAAACAGAGCATATCGTACCATAAAGTGGAAAACAGCATTTGTACAAGATGAAGCCAAAAGTATTTGTGAATGTGGGAGACTGTAATTAATGTACTTGGCATAACTCGTATAATGATAGTCTATTTGTCAAAATAAAACTTATAATATCAGCAACATGAATACGCATAGTTTAGTTACTTAACAATTATACAGTAGAAATATATGTATCGCATTGGTCGATAAATAGTTCTTAAAAGTTACCATTCATAATTATTGTCGGGATATAACAATAACCTATTTACATGACCATTACAAGTTCCTCATGACTGAATGTTTCTAACCACCATTTGCGAGATTCCAGGTGCAGACGACAATCAGCAGTACTTTCTATTGCTAAGCGTACGCGCGTGAGACCGAATGTTTTGGGTTCGAGTCCCATGTGTGGATCGTAGATGTGCACTGCTAATGAGTCCCGTACTAGGACGAAACGCCTGTCTAGTGCTTCGAAGTTTTCACCAGTAGTCTACCTTATATAGACTCATGGATTCTATTATTTTATTCATTTAATTTCTGTGGATCAATGACTTGAATCAATTGATCGGTCTGTATGTGACTGTTGCGTCAAATAGTATCAGTTTATTCTTGTCTATCAATATGATTTGGTGATGAGTACCAGAAAATTCGAATCTTTAACATAGTGCGTTAATATATTAAACTTGTGGATTGAGCTCTGAAGCTTACAGTTATCGTTTGATCTAAAGTAAAGAGCAGACAACATAGTATGCTGTATGCAACTTATGTTGACAGTTATAAGTAGTATGTAACGCCGACTAGAAGTGGAATGCCTGTCAAAAGAAGGTTGAGAAGATTGAACTGAATAAAGCAGAAAGGTAAACATAAAGGGGTTATGAATTGGAAGAATTATGAAGGATGTAAAGGACAATTGATGGAATGATGTGCAGATGCAGTACTTAATGTATTGTTTTCACATTTTAGGAAGACATTCTGTAATTTTATATTTAACAATGAATTGGTTGTCCCCAACTAAATTCTTGTTCACTACAATAGTATACTACTTATTTTCTAGTAATGTTGTTTTTTATTAAAAAAAAACTGTCCACTGCAAATGTTCAATTACTGTTGAATTCTAATTGAAAATAAGGTAAATCCAACAGTTTGTTTACTCAAACTGAAATTTTTCCTAAACTATTTTCTAATTTACAGGACAATACTATTCGTCATGAAGGACAATGTTTAGAGATCAATATTGAAAAATCCAGTGTTCAACTTACCTCATGTACTGGATCATTAAAGCAACAATGGAAATTTAATCGCAAACCGTATATCCCAACCGCTATAGATTTTAATCGATTTTAATATTGACTGAACACATTGGAATAATTACCAATCTATTATTTCATGTTCATCTACTTCATGTGTATATATATATCTATTAACATGTATTTGTACTAACATGAGAAAGCAACAATGTCTTTCCTTAGATGTACAATCTGTTTAAAGAAATGTTTTGTGAATAGAATGGAAAGTACACAAATATTGTATTATGCTACCAATTTTTTAGTTGTTCTTTTGTTTTTTGGTGTGTTTTCAACATCCAATGTGTAAATTGGTTAAGCCTAGTGATAACATATCATCATTCTCATTTTTACCATTTTGTTTATCTGTGATAACAGTTACGTAATATTTATATAAATTTGTGAAAAATTGCAATCAATAAAATAAACAAACAAACAGACAAGATAGATAACCAGTATGAGTTCAATTTTTTTTTATATATATATTCACTAATGTGCCTTTCTCACGGTGTTTGGTTATTTCTCATTAATAAAATTAATAATATGTAATGGAATGTATGAATAAACGATGCTCAATATTTTGTTTACTTATTATCTACCCCTCAACTTTATGGTTGTTATTCTATAGAATGATGGTTTGTTTTCAAAGTGTATTTTAGTTTATTTTTCATTACGAAACTCTTTTGTTTTGCTTCACAACATGTTTCCCATCCTTTGAATTATGAGGCTGTTGCACAATCATCTTTCTCGTTCATTTCAGATATATATATATGTGGAGAAATGGTTGTATTACCCTTGTTGTTGTTTTATGTATCAAATTAATTTATTTCATTTTATTCTTTATCCATTAAAACAAACTGTATGTAAGTGCCTATTGAGAATTGAGACGTGAATTTCTCTTGATGATAATTATTATTATTTTGAGCTATTTTATAAACTTCTGTAGAGTAACAAATATCGTTATGAAACAATGTGACCATGATCTTAAGTTTTTTTTTACATATTTCGTTTTCTCTCGAATTAAATATTTTATAACTGACTTTTCTCAAAACTTTTTCAATTGAATGAAGTGCATTCGATGGTTTAACGTAGTTACATGATTGTCAGATTGGTTTTTGCTTTATACTAATGATTCAGTCTTCTCACACTGTTCACAGTTATACTTCAAATTGATGTCTGCTGATGCCCTGGTACGGCCGAGGGTGAGGAGAGTTAGCTTTCCCTGTCGAAATGCTCTGATATGGCCGTGCGAAAACAGACACTGCCAGGGAAGACCTGCTCACTGCCTTCTCGCGGCGAGCGTGTTGCTTACGAAATTGAGAGGATGAAAAGTGGATGTCCAGCACTTTAACCGGGTTGGTGTATATGTAGAATCCATCTAGGTGAGTTGGAAAATCCTGGTTCCAAACCAATGGTGCACATGGGTTCTAGGATCCTGAAGGAACAAATGGCGTATGAACCACTTATTGGTCACCGCCCACCATGAGACTGCATTTTCTTACGTTGCTCCACTGCCTTGTGGATCAGACCTTTGGTTTCTAGTGCTGATCGAATCCTACCGATCAGGTTTCAATGTGGCCATTAGTCTAGGTAACTCAACGTCATATGCTCTATGTTCGATGCTAACTGGTTGAAGGTGGTCTTCAAAAAACATTAAGTCTTAACAGCTCAGTTATCACACTCATAAAATGACGAGAAATTAACGTGGTGACAACAAAATGGAAAAGAGAATCTGTTGAATATACGCTGTGTATGTGTACCACTTGCACAGTAGCTTCCATTGTACTTATCTGCACAAAGCTAATGTCAAACGACTGACTAAATTTCAATGAACTAAATGACGAACGTATGCTGAAGATATATCCACAAACGTATAATTGCCTGGTAAACACTATCATTGTTTCGTAAAGAAAAGTTGGTTTACAATTCACGCTTGCCGAATAATGACCATTATTTGGCAACAATAACAAGATTTTCCTACAAACACATGCTAGCTGTAAGTAATTTGCTTCAATAGTTGTAAATGAGAAGCCTTTAATAAATTGATATTTGTCAATGTTTTGTCCAAAATATTCGCTATTTTATTTGTTAATATTAGCTTTATTAAATATTATAGTTTTGATAAAATATAGAATTCTCAGCACAAAATGTTTCAGCAAGTTTGCAGTTCTGACTTCTCGGTCGATCTTGTCGATAAATATTGAGTGATCGCCAGTTAGATGTTAGCAGTCCAGTAAATGAACATCTGAATAATGTACTTTTTTTCGCTGCATATTGCCAACGACCACAATATCTCTGTTTTGGCCTTTGTAACATGTACAACGAAAGGTTGTACACTTTTCAGAAACGCACCTGAATAGGTTATGCGATTATTAGACATAATTATGTATTAAAACAAACAAAATAGATAACTTGTTGAAATATCTAGATGGCAGGAACAGATAGCTCAGATGTTCAAGCAGGCCGCCAACTTTGCGGGGCTTGAAAGGATGAATTTTTCAACATTTTATGCTCTCGGAAATTTAGTGAAACTGACATTATTATTCTATAGCATTAAACCAATTCTCACAAATAATGAAATGTTTGGCTAATTCAACTCTTTATGATCACTAGTAACCAGTATTGATGTATGAATAGTGAATTTTGCAGGCGGCAGTTGATGCAACTCAATCTGTTTGTTTCGACTTTTTTTTCTTTATTCTGACTCTAAATGATTATATCTTCTGTTAGAGTGTCCTTATTTATCATACACTCTGTACTAAACATTCATATGTGTGTTACTTCTAGTGTGAGTATGCCAGGATTAGGAGCGTGTTGATGTCATCTTCCCATTATTCTGTTACATTTCTCTAGACTTTATCGGTTTTGTCTAGACAGTTTGTGTATGTAGTGGCTGTTTAATTGAAGCTCATTCTGCTGTTGATTGCGGACGATGATTACTTTATAATAAAAAAACTTTTCGCTACTCATTTAGGTATAAGGAAGAAAACAGAAATTTGTTAAGTTATCACTTTGATTTAGTTTTATCTCAGTTATTCATACTTTAAAAATTTCCGAAATGTGCTTTAATTTATTATTACAGGGATCTTTGATTGGCGGCGGTACCAATTAAAGTAAAAGCATGCTATTTTAGCATATTTGAAATTAACAGCTTTTTTTCAATATGATCGTCAAATATTTTGAACCTAGTATAGTGTGAAGTTGATGGCACAATATTTTTTTTAAGTTACAAAGACTACAAAAAACTACTGAAGTACATAATTGCGATGCAACCGCATACTTATAGGGGAATGCACAAGGATATTAACCAACGGGACGTCATTTGTTGACTGTTAAGTAGATAAATACTCAGTATAAAAGGAAAGCTAATCGAAAAAATCCGTAAAGTGGATTTTGAGAAAGTGATGTGTGTAATCCATTTTGATACATCTACTTAATTTCTGAATTTGTCCTTTTCAGTGCAGCATGTTATCTAGACTTGTTCCTGTGAACTGTTTCATCACATTTTGAAGATGGATCTTAGAAACGCCAAGCATTTTACGAGTGTTGTAATCTAGGAAAATATATCGACGTCCGATTACATATCGCCAGCTTGTTAAATAACATTATCTATTAAGTAAATTCATGTTGCAATGTAACCTGAATTATCTGACGAAAACAATGTTTCAGACGTCGGGTAAGTCAACACAATAAGATGTTAACTCAAAAATACTGAAACGTTACCGGCTAATGCCTTTCATTAATGTAACATGTGTGAGTAATATACCACATAACCAATTTTTGTATTAGACAACTTAAAACAGTCTTATGTTACATATCTATTCCCTACAATTAATATTACTATCTGTATCAAACGGATCATATCTGTAAACTGGCATAAATTCTGTAATTATTATCTTCAAAATATGTTATTATTACAAACCAATCAGTCATTTTCCCATTGTAATCTTTGGCTAAAACTCACTAATATATATATATATATATATATATATATATATATATATATATATATATATATATATATATTATACACAGAGAGAGAGAGAGGAGGGAGGAAACGAGGTGACCGAATCATATCCTATTGTTTCGTGATACAATTAATTGAACACTGAATAGTTGAGTTCATATTAAAAGTAGAGTAAAATTAGATATTCATGATAAAGTCAAATCATAATTTAACAGAATTATAAATATAAAATATAAAGAAATAAGTTGTGTATTGTTTGTTTATAAAATTTGTTATATGTATCTTTGACAATGTAACCGTTGTATAATATGAAAGACTGATCATCAGGATAGAGAGACATATATTATTTAGCAAATTAACAAAATAATATCTGATGAATGACATTACTAGTACACATATACATGTTAAATTGAACTGTAAACAATATAAAAATTTGGTAGTAACATGATTCTCCAATACAACACAGCATGCACCAATCCAATCACAATTGACGGAGAAGATTTGGAAGATGTAAAAAACTTTACATATTTGGGCAGTATCATTGATGAACACGGTGAATCTGATGCAGATGTGAAGGCGCGAATCGGCAAAGCAAGTGCAGCATATTTACAACTAAAGAACATCTGGAACCCAAAACAACTGTCAACCAACACCAAGGTCAGGATTTTCAATACAAATGTCAACACAGTTCTACTGTATGGGACAGAAACCTGGAGAACTACGAAAGCAATCATCCAGAAAATACAGGTGTTTATTAACAGTTGTCTACACAAAATACTTCGGATCCGTTGGCCAGATACTATTAGCAACAACCTACTGTGGGGGAGAACAAACCAGATCTCAACGGAGGAAGAAATCAGGAAGAAGTGCCGGAAGTGGATAGGACACACATTGAGGAAAGCACCCAACTGCGTCACGAGGCAAGCCCTCACATGGAATCCTCAAGGCCAAAGGAGAAGAGGAAGACCAAAGAACACATTACGCAGAGAAAAGGAGACAGACATGAGAAGAATGAACAAAAATTGAATAGAACTGGAAAGGAAAGAAGAGTGGGACAGAGTGGGTTGGAGAATGCTGGTCGGCGGCCTATACTCCATAGGGAGTAACAAGCGTAAGTAAAAGTAAGTAAAAATCATTTGTTTTAAAATATCACAGCTGTACATTTTTATCCACAGATAGTAGATATAGTTTACTGTTGAACAACCATTGTTGTTCTAACAATCTAGTACATTCAGAAAGTTGAACTTTAGAATTTTCATCATCAATTTCTAGACATTCATCTCGATGATGAATACTACCATCCTGTAACGATAGGCAATCGATCAGTGTATTTTGCAACAGTTAAACGATAGAAAACTATTCAATTAAAAGAGAAATATTAGGAAATATTGTTATAAATAGTAACAGGAAACAAAAAACTTTTTCATAATAAGCAAATTATATTCATAAATCATAAAGCTACTAATTGGAAAATTCTGAAAAAATAATTCTCAACAAATCAATTAATCAGAAAACAGTAATAAGCACTGTTATCCTGTTCATATTTTCCTACAAATCAAATCTATCAATTCACCTTTCACAGTGATCATTCAAGCTAACTGAATCGATATATTATCTTAATTCCCATCCTATCCATATTAAATCGTATCTCCCATAGATTAATGTTACTCACTTTGTATTTATTCAACTTTTTATTCAAATCAAACCTCTTCAGTTGAAGAGTAAATTTAATTAGATTACCCCCAAATACCTTGGTACGGCCGAGGGTAAGGAGAGTCTGTACTACTTCTCGAAATTCTCTCAAATAGCCATACATATACAGTCACTGTCAGGGATGTCCTACTCGCTGCCTTCTTGCGGCGAGAGTGTTGTTTACGAAATTGGGAATATGAAAAGCGAATATCCGTCTCTTTTACCGGGTTGATGGATATAAAGGATTCTACACTTATTTTCACAGATTTCCTGCATGATTTGTCATCTTTCATAGAAAACACCTTTGTTCAGTATGCGGATGATCTCATTGTATGTATGAAGATTTCTACCGCTTTACATCACCCTGAGATAAATGCGTTTTTATTTCACATTGAACGATGGTCTATTGGTGATGGTTTCACAACCAATCCTTATAAATGTCAAACTGTTGACTTCAGTCTGAGACATAAACAGCACTTAAACAACCTGTTGGAATCCCTGAAGTTTGTACTATTGGAGATGCCTGAATATAAAGTCAAAAATTATTTATCTTGGTGAAAGTTTCTCCTCTCTCTCTCTCCATATATATATATATATCAAGCTGCAATGTGAGCACTAATATAAGTGATTTCACCTCGTACGCATTACAATGAGATACAAGTGGTGAGTTGTATCGCTCAATGGTAATGTCACTGACTATGAAGTTGGATGACACGGGAACAAATCCTCTAGGGAGAATCAATCCCTTCAAGATTACTTTTATTATTATTATTAATGGCTCTATTCAGTATTATGTATTTAGTAAAATATAGATTTTTGAACACAAAGTATTTCAAAAAGTTTCTTTTGCAAACTGAAAAGTGGAAAAAGCGATAACTTTTTATATTTTTACACAAATGAAGTAAATACACTATGCGGAATCAAATGTATTGTTTAGAATCTGCACAACTTTTAATTAACATCTTGTTCATAACATAGTATATATACTAGATAGGGTATGGTAGGTCTTTCTTTACGTGCATACAAAGATAATGTGAATCAAATAACGTTGGTATTATAATGATAAATGAGTGGATAAATGCGAACTTAAATAATTAAACAGGATTTTACTCATATAAAAAAGGTTTCTTAATAAATCAATAATTAAAATAAAAATGACACTGGATACAGAAAATGAATATCAGAAACACTTACTGTTTCATAAATGAACTCACGATAACCATTGGAACTACAACTATGAAATAAACTTATACAGCTTCAATGAATATCAGAATCATAACAGTAATTATCTCGTCTAATATCATTATTAGTAGTGGTAGTAACCAGAACTACTATAGAAAAGTATATAAATTGTTTATGAAATCGTAAGCGGAAAATCAGTATGCAGAAACAAAACGGTAATTATTGATCTCATGTAAATGGATGCTTAATGCATAGTTTACAATTGCATGACTCTATTCTCTGAATAACAAACTAGTGTC